TGGCTGTTCTTCCAGAGGGCCTGAGTTTAGTTCCCAGCAACCACACGGTGGCTCACAGCCATCTATGAGATCTAGTGCCCTCTTCCGGTGTGCAGGTGCGCATGCAGGCAGAACACAGAATAAATCCAAGAGTAATCCACAGACACTTGACGCCCTCTGGTCTGCTCAGGGTCACCACAGACAGACACACACACACACAGACACAGACACACACCAGATGATGAATAAATGAACAATAAATAAATGAAGCCAGGATGCCAGGCTGTCCTGCTGGCCTCAAGTCCCTGGTGGACAGAGAATGCTCAGCCAGCACCGACCCGTGGTGAGTTTGAGACCAGGGTGACTTGAAACCCTGTCGCTATAGGCGAAACACACGTGGAGACTTAGATTTAATTAAAAATTTTAATAAAGATTTTGATTTTTTTGAGACAGGGTTTCTCTGTGTAATCCTGGCTGTCCTGGAACTCACTTTGTAGACCAGGCTGGTTGGCCTTGAACTCAGAGATCCACCTGCCCCTGCCTCTGCCTCCCGAGTGCTGGGATTAAAGGCGTGGACCACCACCATGCCCTAAATTTTTATTTTGTAAAAAGTGGTGTCTGTGAGGGCGTCAGTGTGTGGCTGCATTTGAGTGTGGGCGGTGAGCCTCATGATGTGGGTGCTGGGGCCCGGGCCTCCGCCACAGCAGCGGCTACTCTTACCTAGCCACCCTGCCAGCCCTACCTGTAAGAACACGGAGGAAGCGTTTCCTTTGTTACGTGCATGAGTGCTTGTGTGCATGTCTGTACACCGTGTGCACCGCTGACCGTGGAAGCCAGAAGCGGGGGTTGGATCACCTGGAAATCAAGTTGCAGCTGCAACTTTCCTCTCAACTAAGTATTTTGAAATTGCTGGGGGCTACCGCACACCTGGTAGAGGATTTGCTCACACCAAACCCTGGCTTCCACCTCCAGCACTGCAAAAACTCAGCATGTGGAATACGGAACCAGGAAGAGCTAAAGTTCAAGGATATCTTTGGCCACATCGTGATTTTGAGTGTAACCTGGGCTACATGAGACCCTGCCTTGAAACAAGAAAAGAAGAAAAAAAATTTTAAAGGGGAAAACAAAATATCAAAAATTTAAAACTTTTAACAACAAGAGCAAAAAACTCCTGAAGCTTAAGGGAAAAGGCCTGGGCAATAGTCACAGTGTAGTAAGAACAGCACCCATGGCTGGACACAGTGCCCCGTGCTGCCCTCTCAGCAGGGGTGGAGGGCCTGTTCACAGAGATCACATGGTGAAGGCTGACAAAGAGAGGCACTGCTGGCTGAAGGTGAATGGCTTAGGTCTCCAGGAGCCTGATGGTGACACCTTGTTTCTTACTGGGAGGCTAACTTCCTGTAGATCCAGGACTGGGGCTGTGTCTCTCCTACTTGAGGTCTGTCTTTTTGGGGGCCTCTGTTACCCCTGAGAATATAAGCTCTGCATACAGGATGGGTGAGTCCAAGACCTCTGAACCCCAGGTAGCCCAGAGCTAGTCCCCAAGATGTGCACCCCAACTTGTCCCATGACTTCCTTCTCTCCTCCTGCCCCAGGGCCTTTGCACACACAGCTGTGACCAACTCCCTCTTGAGTTTTCTGTTTGTTGTTCACTTTGAGACAGGGCTGTAGCCCAGGCTAGCTTGCTATATATGTAGGAAAGGCTGGTCATGCCTTCTGGTCCTCTGGTCTGCACCTCTCAAGTACGGGGATGACACATGCCACCATGCCTAGCTGATGTCAGAGTTTGAGCAGTGGCTTCCTGGGAGCAGTGAAGAGAAGAGGAGAGTGTGTGACCAGGCCACCCCTGCTTCAGCCCCATTCTCTGGGTGCCTCCAGCCCCAAAAGGATTCCCCAGGGTCCAGCAGTCACTGCCCAGGGCTGGTAGCTCAGCCCTCAGGCCTTCTGTCCAGCAATCTCCAGAAGACAGGTTTGCAAGGCTGTTTCCAGGAGTCCAGTGGCATCTTAGGTGCAGCTGTGGCTCCTCCACTCCCTTCCTGTCCCCATGTCCCCCTGAGCCTGGCCTAGGATGAAGGTGCAGCCAGCCAGTTTGCATTTGAGTCTGTTCATTCCCTGCTACCAGCATCATAGGTCCCCAGAGCTGAGGTTCCTGCAGGCCTCAGGCCCATCCCAGCTGGTTGCTAGGATACCTCCTTGAGGGGCTTCTTCAAGGCAAGGTGGCCCCGAGGAGGGAAAGGGGTGTATCTCCGAGGCAGAAGTGGTTGTGGAGGCTGTAAATTCCTTTGTTGGACTGATTGTGGCCATGGGCACCAAGGGGGTATATGGTGAGACAGAGACCCCTGAGGAAGTCTTCTCTAGGGCAGTGAGCAGCCCAATCTGGGTGACAAGCAGGGGTGTGTCCATCATCCCTGGGAGCTGTGGAAGAGGGGTGTGTCAGGTGGCTCAGTGCTTAAAGCTTAGCTGGTAGAGGGCTTCCCTGGCAAGGACCCAAGAGGTAGAGACGGGAGGAACAGTTCAAGGTCATTCTCAGCTACATAGTGAGTTCTAGCCTGGACTGTCACTGTGTTGGGGGCTCAGCTGGGGCTCAGTACTGTCGTCAGGTCCCAGGCCACTTCCCCTGCTCTGAGCTGCACAGAGACAGCAGGCCCGGAAGGAACCAGATAGGACCTGGGGGGGCTACACCTGGGAGGACCCAGGGCTGCACACACATCTGGACAGTCGCCCCAACTTTTCAGTGATGGTATGACTTTGGGGAAAGGGGGGAAGAATAGGGCCCCCAGATGTCTTAGGAGATACCTGTCACTCCAGCACCCCCAGGGAGAAGGCTGAGGCAGGAGGATTTCAGTGAATAAATTGGAGATCAGCCTTGGCTACAGAGTGGGACCCTGTAAAAAAAACAAAAACAAAAACAAACAAACAAACAGAAATACAAGACCATAAAAACTTTGTATGAGTTGGGAAGAGTGGCCCAAGCCTGTCCCAATGCTTGGGAGGTGGAAAGAGAAGGAACAGGAGTTCAAGGTCATCCTCCGTCACAACCCAGTTCAAGGGCTACCTAGTAAGTTCTAGGGCCACCTGCGCTTTACAGTGAGTTTGAGCCCAACCTAGCTACATGAGACCCTGATTCAAAATAAAAACTTGCATGAGCGAGCCCTGTAGGGCTGCCTGCGTGAAGGGGGGGGCAGCACGTGTTGGGGGGCTCCCCAGCCCTGATGACTCCACCTCCCTGGAGCTCTTCCTGCCCGCAAGGCAGCTGCGGTTCAGGACTGAGGGATTCCTGTGGTGAGTTTGTCTGTCCCCAGAGATGAGGTCCTCAGCTGCAGGACTCTGCAACAGCTGGCCGCGCGTGCACAACCGTCCATCTATCTCGCAGGCTCCCATCCTTGCAGAGCACCCAGGAAGGAGCTTTAAGTTTGGGCGGGGCCTGCGGGGGTCATAGGGGCGGGGCCTAGCGCGGCCAGCCAATCCGAGACGTCGCTCCTCCGGGGCGGTGCTGCCCCCCTCCCTGACCGGCCGCGGCGGGGACGCGCTGGCACGCGGGTCCCAGGTCCCCGCCGTCGCCCGCAGGTACTGGCGTGAGGAAGCGGGAGGCCGGTAATTGCGAGTTCCTGGGCCATACGGCTGGGGATGGTGTCGTCACAGGGTCAGGGTCAGGGACACAGAAGAGTGGGTGCGCGACTGCCCCGGTGAGGGCAGGTTGCGAGTGGGAGACGCTTGAGTTCTCAAAGTCCGAGCACCAGGGTGGATGTAGCACAGCCGGTGACATGAGTGCGCGCTCGCCGGCCACCCTGAGCCGGGGTCACGGTACTCAGAGATAGCGCCTGGGCGGCCAGTCCGGCCCGGCAAGCTCCCTGGCGGCCGCTGGGGAATGGGCAAGCAGAGCCAGTCACCTTAAGGAGCCAGTGAGTTTGTTGAGAAGTCCCGGGCCTTCCTCCGCCTCATCTGCCCTCTGGCTGCTGGCATGACCACCGTACAGGGTCTAGTGTCCTGTGAGGTTCATGGGCTGTTCTCACTGTGGTCCTGTGAAGGGGTGTGGGCAGGCGAGTCCCTCCTGGAGACTCGCACCAAGGGGACACCTATTGATCCTGTTTTATTTTATTTTATTATTTTATTTTGAGGCAGGGTCTCATGTAGCCCAGTTGGCCTCAAACTCTGTAGTACAGGCTGGTCTTGAAATTCACTATGTCCTGCCTCAGCCTCCCCACTCACTTAATGATAGGTCTGTATTACCACACCTGGCACGGTGACTCACAGCTGTCATCCCAGCACGTGGTATGTGACATAAGCTCAAGGCCAACAAGGGCTATAGATTGAGAACCTGCCTCTAAAATAAATATATAAAATCACAGAGGACCAGAGAAAGTGGGCTGAGCTGGTATCCCAGGCCAGGTGAAGAGAGGCATTGGTTAGTTGCCAGCCGGTGTCCCCGGCTCACAGGCCCTTAGGGTCAGGGCCAGGCTGGTTCCCTCTCACAGCTGTGGGGCAGCCTGTGCCACTTCCTGGGGGCATTCATTAGTCCCTGCTCTAACACAGTGCCGGCTGAAAATGAAGCCGACTGCCAACCTCTGTCAGCTTTATAAGACGGGAACAGGACTTCCCTTTGTGCCTGGACCACAGACAATCCTTTTAACTGGAGATGAGTCTAGGACTGGCCCCTGAGGTGGCTTCCCTGTGCCAGTGCAGCTTGCCTAGGAGGACACTGTCTCAGGGGAGCGAACATGGAAGCTCCCGGGCTGTGCTTAGCACGTGTGTTGGGGAGCTGAGTCACAGCTCAAAATTGCCTCTTCATCCATGCAGCGTGGTGCATGGTGTGCAGCGGGCCCTGCGGACACACAGATCATCTCAGCACCTTCCACTACAGCAGTTTGAGGGGAAGGGGGCATAGTTTCACGGCATGCCCGTGTCCATGACATCAGAGATGGTGCTGGCTTGCAGCTGGAAAACCCCTTTCCACACAAGCAATGCCTTCAGGATTCTCCGGAGCCTTGGTATGTTCTGGAATGGCCATGGTTGAGGTTCACTCTTTTCTGTTTCCACAGGTCTGTTTGGGAGCCCCGCTGCTGAGCCATGCTGGGCTCCCACAGGCCTGCCACAAGACCAGCCCAGGGAGACAGGAGGCCATGAGTAGCCGCAGCCACAATGGCAGTGTGGGGTGGCCTCTGGGCAGTGGGCCTGGATTCCTGGGCTGGGAGCCTGTGGACCCCGAGGCAGACCGTCCCCTGCAGCTCGCCCAAGTCCCAGGCCTGCAGATGGTGGCCAAGGTTCAGCCTGCCCGGCTGTCACCAGGTGGCTCCAGGGGCCACCCCCAGGAACAGGAAGAAGAAGAGGAAGAGGAGGCCAGGCCCGGCTCTGGGAAGCCTTCCACAGTCAGCCACCGCCTGGGCCACCGAAGGGCCCTCTTTGAGAAGCGTAAACGGCTCAGTGACTATGCACTCATCTTTGGCATGTTTGGGATTGTCGTCATGGTGACAGAAACAGAGCTGTCCTGGGGTGTATACACGAAGGTGTGTCTGATCAGCCTGAGTTTGGGGCCTCAATTGGGCCTCGGGAGCAAGGGTGAGGGACGCAGGAGGGGCATGTGGGAGGGGGCTGCATGCAGCACAGAGTTGCCAAGAGCCGCAGGGGTGTGTGACACAGGGACATTTTCTGGCCACACGTAGCCAGATTGCCTGCATGTGAGTCCAAGGAGCTGGAGTCGGGGAGCCACAGGGACAGACCCTGCTTGGGCAGCGATTGTCCTCACTCAGCTGGTGTCTGGGTGGCAATGCCAGGAACCTACAGCGCCCCCTCTCTGTGTGCAGGAGTCACTGTACTCTTTTGCCCTGAAATGCCTCATCAGCCTGTCCACTGTCATCTTGCTTGGCCTTGTTGTCCTCTACCACGCCCGTGAGATCCAGGTTGGTAGTCACCACTGCTGAGGTGTGACCCAAAACTGGGCAGAGCCTCTGAGATAATGTCCACTCCAACCCTCCCAATGTCCCGACCCCTTGTCTGCTTTCCAGGATCCCGTGTGTATGTATGTTTGTGTTTGAGACAGGGTCTCAGGTAGTACAGGCTGGAAACTACTGATCTTGTCACCATCTCCTGGGGCGGGATAAAAGCTGGTGCCCAGCTAAAACCTGATTTCTCTTCCAGTCAGCCCCTTGATACTGGGTGGGGGCTAGTTGCTCTGACCACAGTGTTCTGACCCAAGGTCGAGGGATGGAGGCTGAGGGAGGCCCAAAGCCACATGGCTCTGCATTGCTGAGAAGTTCCAGAATGGAAATGTTGCTAAGACGAACAGATTCTGGGCTGCAGGGCTGGGGGTCAGACTGAGAGCTAACAGTGATGAGGTCACTGGTTGGCACATGGGCCGTGGAGGAGGTATCACCTTACAGAGTGTGAGACGGCTCCCCTCCCGATGGCAGGAAAGCTGCCTAGGGACTGCCATCGCCGCTGCATCATGAGACAGGGTCAGACCACAGATCTCCGGGCGCAGGACTTCAGGGTCATCCTTGAGTACATAGGAGTCAGGGCCAGCCTGGGCTACATGAGATCCTCTCTCAAAAATGCACAAACAAAAATAATCCTTGTCCAAAATCCCGAGCCAGATGGGCTGAGGCCCGGGCAGGGTTCACACTGTGGACTGACTGTGCTCAGGGAGCCACCCCTCCACCCACAGCTGTTCCTGGTGGACAATGGTGCAGATGACTGGCGCATCGCCATGACGTGGGAGCGCATGTCCCTGATCTCGCTGGAGCTGGCCGTGTGTGCCATCCACCCTGTGCCCGGCCACTACCGCTTCACGTGGACGGCACGGCTGGCCTTCTCACTGGCTCCGTCAGCGGCCGAGGCAGACCTGGACGTGCTTCTGTCCATCCCCATGTTCCTGCGCCTCTACCTGCTGGCTCGCGTGATGCTCCTGCACAGCCGTATCTTCACCGACGCATCCAGCCGCAGCATCGGGGCCCTCAACCGCGTGACCTTCAACACGCGCTTTGTCACCAAGACGCTCATGACCATCTGCCCCGGCACCGTCCTCTTGGTCTTCAGCATCTCCTCCTGGATAGTCGCTGCCTGGACAGTGCGTGTGTGCGAGAGGTGACTGGCCGGGAGCCCAGACCCAGGTCCCCACCTCCCTCCATTCACTGCTAGACAGCCCTCCCATGACCCTGCAGGCGCCTGCAGGATGGGCCTCGGCCCCTCTGGGTGGGCGCTGGGCCATCCCTGCCCGTGTCCTCAGTCTCCATTGTCTCTTGGGAGGCCCATTGCTCAGTCCTTAGCCTTCTCCAGGCCTCCCACACTGGCCTCTGACATTAGCCCAGAAGAAGGGGTCACAGGCTCAGAGCTGCCCTCCGGCCTGGCCCCTTCACTGATAGCCTGCTCTCTTATTTCTGGGAAGCTGGGGTAGAGCTCAGGGCTGGGGCCACTGAGTACAGACTCAAGTTTAATGCTTGCTTTCCCTCCCTCTCTCTGGCCTTCCGGACCCTAGGGCCAGCAAGTGAGTCTACGCTCATCAGAGCTGCCTCCAGCCCCTCCGTCCCCAACCCTCGTGACCCAGCCACCCAGCTTCCTACTCCTGCTGTCCCACCAGCCAAGAATTTAAGATTAGCTGTGAGGGAGGGGAGCTGGCCACCAGGATGGGCCTGGCTGGGAGGAAGGGAAATCCAGAGTCCAGAATTTTTGTCAGCTCTGGGAACCAGGAGTGTCAGGTCACCCATGGCCTGCCTGGGGGTGTGGAGTGAGGAAGGGAATGTTGTCATCCTCCCTCCCCCCGATACCCCAGAGCGGGAGTCTAAGGTCCTCAAGGATCATGGGACTTGCATGGGGTCCCCGGCCTGACTGATCGGAGACAGGTCCAGCTGGGCCTCATTGGTACAGGAATGTCTTAGTGACTATGAGGTCCATCTGCCCTGTGCCTAGTCCGGAAAGGTCATGGTGGGAGACCCGTTCTCTCATCTTTCTGTCTCCTAGGGGCCAGGCTGGCCCTCAGGAACCTCGTGTACCCACTGCTACTCTTGTAGCCCAACCCACTGGTCAGAGCAGGGACTTCAGGGCCCTCCTTGCACTACCCCTGTGAGCTAGGAGCCCAGTAAAGGGATCATCCAGCCTGTCTTAAATACCAGGCCACTGCTGTTTGCCACCTTGCCTTGCTGCGACCCCACAGCCCTATGCCCGCATGTACCCATCCCTGCACCTGGTCACTCCAAAGTACCCATGCATTCTGGCATGGGGGTGACGCCATGCACTAGGGAGGTGGAGGCAGGGTGAGTATCCTTGACTACACAGCAAGCTTGATTCTAGTCTGGGGTACGTGATGCCCAGCCTCAAAAAAACAAAACAAAACAAAACAAAAAAAACATCAAAACTAAGTACAGAAACATCTCTGGAAAGTTAGGGATTGTGGTTAAGAGCCCTCCCCATTGCCTGGGACTCCCCATCAGTCCTGGCCCCGATCGGGGTGCCCAGACCCCACAGCTCTAGTAAGTGAGGCCTCAGGCTGCCTGTCCTGCAGAAACCAAAATCCAGCTCTGCTATCCAGTGCCCTCCCCTCTCCCAAGGCCTCAGGCTAGGGACAGCATGTCCCTCTGTGCCCCTCATCCCACCTCTTTAGCACCCCTCCACTCTCCTTACATCACAGCCACCGCTGGCCTTCTGTTTCCCCCAGCCCTATTTCCTCAGGCCTCGATGGCCATGGTATGGGAAGTTCTTCCTAGTGTCTACCCTCCATGCTTGTCTTACCTATGTGGCTCTGCCTTTGCGCCATCCTTGGTACTGTCATAGGGGTTATAGCATGGGTGTTAGGGGAGATGCTGAAGAACATGGGGGAGGGCATGGTACCCCCATCCCAGCCTACACCAGGCCCTTCATCACTCCCTACCCCCCAGGCCCTCCACATTCTTGGAAAAGTCCTGTCCCCATCCCTAAGGTTGTGATGAGCAAAGGTGATGAGGGCAGCGTGGAATGACCCAACCCTGTCTATCCCCCCAACACCAGGTACCATGACAAGCAGGAAGTGACCAGCAACTTCCTGGGGGCCATGTGGCTCATCTCCATCACCTTCTTGTCCATCGGCTATGGGGACATGGTGCCGCACACCTACTGTGGGAAGGGCGTGTGTTTGCTCACTGGCATTATGGTGAGTGTGCAAGCTGCTGCACGGCCTGCAGACTGGGACCCCACCCGTTGGCTTGTTCTAATGTTGCCAGTGTTGTCCAGTGAGACAACACCCATGCCTAGAGGCCCCAGCTGACCCCACATCTGATTGCAGGGAGCCCGAGTAGCTCTGCACCTCTAAAGGTCTGTAGTGGCTCAAGAAGCCGGGCAGAAAAAGCCTGTTCTCTCTCAGCCTCGGTAGGTGTGGTCCACTTGGGACAGCAAATTCCTTTTCCCCTGCTTGAAGCAACAGTTTTCTCGTCTTTTGTTTGGTTTTTTGAGACAGGGATGTCACTATGTCGCCCTGGCTGGCCCTAAAGTCAGAGATTCTCCTGCCCCTGCCTCCAGGTGCTGGGATTAAAGACATGCTGCTGCCACCAGAGGCCAGGCAACAGCTTCTAAGCCACTGCCCGTTCTGGAAGCCAGACCACCATTCCTGTTGAGGCAAAGCTGTATTGTTGCAGAACTAGGATCAGCAGTCAGGCTGATAGCACACGCCTATCATCCCAGAATTCAGGAAGCTGAGACAGGAGGTGGCAGCTTCCAGGCCAGTTTGGGCTACCATATGAAATGTTATCTCAAAACAGTATGAAACTAAAGGAAAAGTTTCCATCACACAGACCTCAGTCTGCTCTGGCCAAGCCCAGCCCACACATACCTTTCTCCCTAAAAGACTTCATGGCATCTTGGCTAAGTTATCTGGCCAAGTTCCACCTAGGAGAAAGAGAGCAATAAGGTGGGGCCCTGGCCCACTCTCCTGGAGCCCCAGGGTGAAGCCTTCCAGCACAGAAAGGCCTGGAGGGAATACAAAACTACATTCCCTAATGGTCCAGGTCCCTTCCAGAAACTTCTGTGGTTAGTGATAGTTCCTTAATGGACACAGCTTTAGAATTATCAGTCCTTCCAGCAAATTCTAACCAGCAGCTTGAGCCAAGCCCCAGGCCCTCACTGGAGGATTCTAGCAGGAGCCCCACCCTTGAGCCATGCCCCCATTCATTTATTTAGTTAGTTAGCTATTAGTTTGACAATCTAACTATGATCCAGGCAGTCCTCAAACCCCTGAACTCCAGCAATTCTGCTTCTGCCTACTGAATTGCTGGGACTGTTGGCACTGCACCTGCCTGGCTTTTGCTTCCACCTCTCTACCCTCTCCTATCACCCAATGCCCCTTTCTGTGCACAGACAGTCACACTTTTGGCTTTCTCATTTCCAGGAGCCATCATTTTCTCCTTGAATCTGAGGCTTCCCGACCTGGCTTTTTGGGGGGCAGCTCTGGGAGACCCACAGCTGCTCGCATTCCTCTGTGCCTCTGCATGGATGACAGCCCACCTCCATGCCCCATGCACAGGCTATTTGTCCTGACTGTAGCATTCCCTCCAGAATTTTCCAGCAAGTTGCTTTGACCTTGTCAAATGGCTTTTCTCAAAAAGAGGCTTCTGCGTCCTTAAAGGCCCTATCCTGACCAGAATCGAGACAGGCTTATCTGCACTCTGTGCCCACTGTGCCTGGGCTCAGCACCTGCCAACTCCTTCCCCAACCTGCTGGCACCTTTGGGTGTTGGAGGCATCCTGTTAGGCTGTAGCGAAGTCCCCTCCGTCTCTCCCACTGTGGCAGTGGGCCAGGGCATGGGGAGGGCTGCCTGGAAGAGGAGTGCCCCGTGCTGGGCTCTGACCTGTGTCCCCTCACAGGGAGCAGGCTGCACCGCGCTTGTGGTGGCCGTTGTGGCCAGGAAGTTGGAGCTCACCAAGGCGGAGAAACACGTGCACAACTTCATGATGGACACACAGCTCACCAAGCGGGTGAGGCCCCAGCCAGCCTGCAGGGTCCCCCAGCAGCGCAGGCTCAGCGCAGTGTCCACGTGCCCTCAGCTCTCAGAGGGGCAGTGCTCCCATCTCTGGACCTAGCCACTAAGTGCACACCACAAACACTTCACCATTTTGTTTGGTTGCGGTTTTTGTTTGTTTACTTGGTTGGTTGGTTTTGTTTTGTTGTTTGTTTTTGAGACAGGGTTTCTCTGTGTAGCCCTGGCTGTCCTGGGCTGGCCTCTAACTCACAGAAATCCGCCTGCCTCTGCCTCCCAGAGTGCTGGGATCACGGGTGTGCGCCACTGCACCCAACTCTTTGGCATTTGCACACTGCCCTTTCTGTGCTTCAGTTTCCCCGTGTATAAAATGAGTGAATGGCTCAGTCGGCAGTGTTTGCATACCTGTCATCCTGGCACTCGAGCCAGAGGCAGGAGATCAAGGCCAGCCTCAGCTACCTAGTGAGTTTGGAGCTAGTCTTGGTTACATACATAAAACCCTGTAAAACAGTGCTCCTCAACTTTCCGTTTCTCACTCTTTAATGTAGTTCCTCATGTTGTGGTGACCCCAACTATAAATTTGTGTTTGTTAACTGTAATTTTGCTATTGTTATGAATAGTAACTTAAATGTCTGTGTTTTTCATGGTGGTCTTAGATGGCCCCGGGGAAAGGTCCTTTGACCCCCAGAGAGGCCGCACCCCACTTGTTGAGAACCACTGCTGTATGTATGTGCAAAGTTGCAATTTTTTTCTTTTTTTGTTTCTTTGTTCTTTTTTGGTTTTGCAAGACAAGATTTCTGTTTGTAGAAACAGAAATGACTGTCCTGGACTTGCTTTGTGCTTGAACTCACAAAGATCCTCTTGCCTCTGCCTCCCTGAGTGCTAGGATTACAGGCGTGCACCCTGCATGCAGCCCTATTTGGAAAAGTTTCATTTTCAGTATTTGACTGTTCTGTACCCAGGCTGCATAGCTCTGAGTGTGCAGACACACTGTGAGCTCACAGTGCTGTGACTCCTAAACAGGTAGTCCTTGGATTTCCAGAGGTTTCTAGAAAGTGGCAGAAGTTTCAGGTCATCTGATAATGACCCTAAGGAACTGTTCTTTTTTGATCCCTAGGTCAAAAACGCCGCTGCAAACGTTCTCAGGGAGACGTGGCTCATCTACAAACACACCAGGCTAGTGAAGAAGCCAGACAAGGGCCGGGTACGGAAACACCAGCGTAAGTTCCTTCAGGCCATCCATCAGTAAGTCCAGCGCCTTCGCAGCTCCCTTCCTGCACACCGGGCTCCCAGGGAGCCGCAGATGGCGGGCTGATGTAGGCCCCTCCATCACCCCTCCCTAGACCCTCCACCTCTCACTGAGGTTAAACAAGTTTGGATTGTGACCTAGAGAGGCCAAGAGGCACAAGCAGGAGTCCCAGGGTTAGCTGTATGAAGGAGGGTGCAGAGCCCAGGCTGAGGCAGGGAGGTGGGGGGAGGCATCACAAGCTGGGGCAGGTAAAGAGCCCCCACAATGGAACTAGTGCCTCCAGGAACCAAATAAATAAAACCCAAAAAAAGAAATAGTCCTGGGGAAAACACACAGAGGCACATCTGATTTGGGGGTGGGAGTGGAGGAGTCTGAATGTCTCCAGTCCTGGTGGTCCTTGGTGTGAGAGGTGGCCGCCCTTGGTCCTTGCGGGGCTCCCAATGCTGGGTGTGTAAAACATGTCTGTCTGCCATGCTGTCTTTTTTTATTTTTTGCCTGTGGTGCTGTGACACTCAGAGCGTGGCAGGGCTAGAGTGCTGGAACTTAGGAAGCAGGCCACAGCCTGGGAGGGGGAGGAGCTGCAGGAACCCACCAGGGCAGCCTCTCTGTGGGCAACAGCCCTCCCGGGGTCAGGGGCACCACGTTTAATCAGGTTCAAGTCCTGGCCGTTCGCTGACACCATGGCAGGCACCGCGGTCTTCACGTCAGGCTGTTTTTCTAAGCAAGCCTCCCATGGAGGAAAAGTACCTGGCACCTGCCACTCACTCGCTGGCTGTGGGTCCAAAGGCAGTGATGGGCAGCCAGCCAGGACTGCCTGGAAGGCCCTGGGTGCTGGGACACAGGTGGCCTAGGGGCTGGTCTCTCACCTTATGAGACCAGATCCCTGCCCATAGCGGCAGCGATTTCCAGCAGAGCATGGGCCCCTGCAAAGTCCTGGGCGGTCATGGGGGGGCACTGGTGATGGGTGCTGGTGGGCACTTCAGCACATTGCTACATGAGATTAAAATTGCATTGTACTTTTTCTTTCTCTTTCTTTTCCTCTGCTCTGCCGGTTCCTGCCAGGGCTCAGAAGTAAGTCTTGGGGTGACTGGAAGTCTGGGGGTGCATAGTGCTCATGTGAGGGGCATGCCACAGGCGTGTCTCTAGTGAGCAGAGAATGTCTGTCCTATGGGTGGGCCTGTGGCCAGGTTCTTGGGAATGGGCTGATCTGGGCCAGATTGTGTCCTACCCTCAGCCCTGTGGCCTTCTGGAGCCTGACCTGCCCCTGTCCATCCCTCCCCTCCCAGGCTCCGGAGTGTGAAGATTGAACAAGGGAAGGTGAATGATCAGGCCAACACACTGGCTGACCTGGCCAAGGTGAGCATTGTGCAGGACAGGAGGGGAGGACCTGAGGCCCCAGGAACACACAGATAACGTCCAGTCAGAGGAGGCTGGAAACCCAAATCAGTAACTTGGCTCTTCAGTTTACATTCCTGATGAATATTCCGGCATGGAACCACAAATGGAGCTTCTAGCTTCTCCAGAGGCTGACACAGGAGGTCAAAAATAGCCTAGGCTGCAGAGACCCAGCCTTGAATACATATACAGGACCCTAGGCAGGGCCGTACCTCTGAACCACACCACAGCCCCTCACTGGGGGATTTCAGGCAGGGGCTCCACCCCTGAGCCACGGCCCCCAGGCCCTCACTGGAGGATTCTAGGCACTGGCTCCACCAGTCCCATTCTACCCAGTAATATCCTCTGAAGATGTTACATTGTTTTTGAGACTGTGTCCTGTAGCCCAGTCTGGCCTGGAATTCACTGTGTAGCCAAGGACAACTTAGAACTCCTGATCCCCCTATCTCAGTTTGTAGAGTTAAGGGATGTTAGCCAAAGATCATAGTGGTTCATTTCACATCATTCCAGTACTCACATGGCTGTGTAGGATGGCCTGAAGACTATGTCTCAAAAATACATGTAAATACATTAAAATAGTATTTTATACAGCCAAGCTAGGTCTGGAGGCACACAGCTGTAATCCCAGCACTGTGGAGGCAGAGACTGATGAATTTGAGACCAGCCTGGTCTATATAGAGCATTCCAGGCAAGACAAAGTTACGTGGTGGTGCCACAGCTTAATAAATAAATAAAAAGAAAATACCAGTGCTGGAGAGATGGCTCAGAGGTTAGCACTGGCTGCTCTTCCAAAGATCCTGAGTTCAATTCCCGGCAACCACATGGTGGCTCCCAACCATCTGTAATGAGATCTGGCCCTCTTCCGGCCAGCATGCATGCATTCAGGTGGGACACTGTATACATAATAAATACATCTTTAAAAAAATAAATAAAATAAAATACCAGAGAGGCCTCTGAGCCATCTCAAGGCTGGCTACATTGGATGTCTCCAAATGTCACACCCTGCTTTCTCAACAAGTAGGGACAGGTAAGGGATAGCCTGGGCAAAAGTGTGGGTCCCCAAAGGAGGAGCATGACACCTCCTCTAGCCCAGTATTTGTGTTATTTGCTCAGCGCCTCGCACCCTGGCGCCCCCTGCTGGTCACACACCTGGCCAGCTGTTTTTTGAAGAGACTGGTGGCCCTGACTGCCCTTAGCCCTCAGTCCTTAGTCCCTCGCTCTGTCTCTCCGTCTCTGCAGGCACAGAGCGTTGCGTATGAGGTGGTGTCAGAGCTGCAGGCCCAGCAGGAGGAGTTGGAGGCACGCCTGGCTGCCCTGGAGAGCCGCCTGGACGCCCTGGGTGCCTCCCTGCAGGCCCTGCCTGGTCTCATCGCACAAGCCATATGCCCTCTGCCACCGCCCTGGCCCGGGCCTGGGCACCTGGCCCCAGTCACCCAGATCCCAGGAGGCCACTGGCTGTCCACCATGGGGTCAGACTGCAGGTGACGGCCTGCTGGTCACCAGACTGCTTAATCTTGGCCATCATGTGGCCTCGGCTAGCTCCTCCACATTCTGGACTGCCAGACCTCTGGATTTACACGGCTGGGTGGAGTTGAGCCAAGAGGACTGAACTCATTCTCCTGAGGCTGGACCGTGGGATCAGTGCCCCTTGGCTGTCCCAAGCCCTCAGGGCAAGGGCTTGGGGCCCTCACCATTTCTAAGTAAACCAGGAGTCACCGACTCACTTTCTGTTTCCATGGCAGGGGCGCTTGAGCATCGCAGAGGAGGTGGGTGCCCCAGCCTGAGGATTCCTGAGTGGATGGGGACAGGGTGGGAGGTTGCTGCATAGGGTTAGGTGAGTCCCTGTTGGGCACAGGGACTGATACAATGACTTTTCCTCGGGATCTTTCAGACCAGAGTAAGACACAGGGAAGGCAGGCTCAGAGAGGGGGGCCACCTGTCTGCAGCCACAGCAGGGTGTGAGGCGGACAGGCTTCCCAAACAGTGGCCAGATTCTACTTCCCTGATGGCCTGAGGTCACCATGAGGGCACATGGGAGGGTCTGGGAGCAGATGTGGAGGGGGTGAGAAGCCAGGGCCACAGAATAGCAGAGTGGTGGAGGTCCCTCGAGCCTTTGGCTTGCCTGACTGGGATAGGTGGCCAGTCAGGACCAACTCTGGAGCCTTGGTCCTGGCTGCCCCTGATAAGGCCATCAGCCCCCAAGACTTTGGGGGACAGTGGACAGTGGCAGGGTTCCCAGAGGCCCAGCTTGGGGCCACAAGAACTTGTGAGGAGGGCCATGGGCACTTGCCTGGTTCTGGTCCCCTGCTGCTGTGGGGCGTGGCAGGGCCAGTCTCAGGGAGGTGGCCTAACTCAACACCTACACAGATGGTAGGTGCTCAATAAACACTCCCTCCCTCTTGAGCCTGCCCATGAGGACCTGTAAAACATGGCCTCATCCTGTCCCCTCTTAGCCCAGTGTAGCCCCTGGCCACTGGGAGCGAGACTGGGATCCAAACAGGACCAGAAGAAGCAGGCTGCGGTGGCACATGCCTTTCATCCCAACACTTGGAAGGCAAAGGCGAGGATGTTGCTGAGTTCTTTAGCTACACAGTGAGGTTGGGCAGCTTGGGAGACAGAAGTAAACAGGGCTGGAGGTGACCTGGGACTCCTCGGTGGTGAAAGTGTGGAGGACAACATTGTTCTTCAGACTCTGCATGTTTCAAGGTCTGCGCAGGATCTGCGCTGTGTGTTGCGAGGCGGCGCGGGCCTTTTGAGAGTATAAAACGCAGGTGTGGGTCCCCAGGTCGCCTGCTTTGTCCCCACCCTGGTCTGAATAAGCACAGCGCTGAAGCAGGAACTCGGTGGTACAGGGACTTGGCCGAGAGTGCCATGAAGCTGGGCTCCGTCTGCAGCTTCACGCTGGAGCTGCGGGAGGCTGCCTGTGGGGTGGGGGCAGCGGCTGCTGGGCCAGGGGCTGCTCGAGGGGCACTCGTGAGCACCAACCATGTCCAGCGACTCCACGCAGCTGAGACCTGCCTGCTGCCAGGTAAGCTGGCAGAAATGGAGCACCCTTTGCAGTAGACACTCGGGAAGCTGAGGCAGGAGGATTGCCAGCAGTTGAAGGCCAGCCAAAGTTACATGGTGAGAAACAAGCGGTAGGTGTGGCTGAACACGGCTGTCATCCCAACACCACTGAGCTTGAGGGAGGAGGACCAGCAGTTCATCGTTTGAGGGTAGCCTGGGCTACAGTAGACAGTCACAAAAAAAAGTAAGGCCTCCCAGAGGTGGGATTTCCCAGAGACACGCATCCATCTTAGGCGAAGTCCTCCGGCTTGGACTGTGCCCCCCTTCCAGGCCTATGACAATCTGGACATAGAGGGACACAGAGGGGACACCCCAATTAAAGTGAGGGCTTCTGGGCCCCATGCAGGGTCTGTGGAATCCCAGCTGGGCTAGGAGTCTCCCACTCAGGACCTCCAGGGGTGGGGATCCCAATTCTCAAAGGATCTTCTTATCTGTGCACCCAGAACGGTGCCTCAGTTTACTCTGCCGTGTCTGCTACTCTGGGTCTTTTCATGGGGTGTGGGGCGTGCCTGATGGTGTTTGTGTAGGATGGAAATGTCCGCTGGGGGGAGACCGTAGGGACTGGGGAGGGGGCATCGCCTGTGAGGACCCAGCGCCAGAGCCCTGTGTGTGGCTGGGGACAGAGGTGGCCTCTGGCTCGCCGCCCCTCGCTCACTCAGCTAAAGCAGGCTATGCTCGCCGTGAAATGGGCGGAGCAGAAGAAGGGGCCACACCTGCCTCCACCGCGCTGAGAGGTCCGGGAACCGAGGCCGCAGGAAGGGGCCCCGCGGCACCTTTCTTCTCCCGGTGACTCGGGCTTTCTGAGGACTTCCCTGACGCGGGGCGGAGCGCGATGGCCGGCTTGCTGCGCTGGGCCGCCGAGGGCAGGACGCTCGCTGAGCCTCCGGAGGCTCGTGGGGGGCTCACACAGGGCGGAGCGCCCCGTTCCCGCTCTTCCTGCCAGGCCGCCGCCTGCTCGGGGCTGTGTGGGGGCTGCAGCCTCGGGTGTCCCTGTGTCCGGGGCTCAGGAGAAAGGGCCGAGCGAGCCGCAGTGCATAGCATGTCCGCCAGGGGCCGCCCGCGTCCCGCAGACGCTGGGCCGGATCCTCCCAGCCGCTCAGGGGAAACTGAGTCCCGGGTCCTGCAGCCCTGGACGCGAAATGCCAGGGCGGCTACTGGGTTCGCCGGCTATGCGTGGCCATCCCCTGCTGTCTGGGAGACTGTTGTCTCAGCCCTTATGGAAGTGGAAACTGAGGCTCGTCTTCGCTGTCCCTTGCTGGGGTCCCCTCGCTAAACAGGGGTGCCCAACACGGGAAACACCAGTCCTTTCCTGCTCCCACCAACTCGCACCGCCGGAAACAATGGGCCCGTAGTCGGGAGGCCCCAGACGGCTCTGCGGAGGGCAGCGAGGATTACGCCCAGAGGCCGCGCCGGCCAATCCAGTGCCTAAGAGGGGCGTTCCATCGCCGTGAGTTCCAGGCCAGCCCGGGCTACAGTGTGAGATCCTGTCTCAAAGCACAAGAAACAACCAGGCACGGCGGCAAACGCCCATCAGGTTAGCTCTGGAAGACTAGGGCAGGAGGATGGCGAGTTCAAAGTCAGGCTCGAGTACATAGTGAATTGGAGGCCACGCTGGGATGGGTGGAACACGGTCTCAAAAGAAAATAAAGGTTGTGGGTTCAAAACCAGATTTGAGCTTCAATCCCAGCACTCGGGAGGCACAGGCAGCCTCATCTCTATGAGTTCCAGGCCACCCTGGTCTACATAAGTAAGTGCTAGACCAGCCAAGGGTACACGGTGAAACCCTGTCTCAAAACAACCAAAATAACAGAGCCCTGTTTCCTAACTAATGCCTGTCATCTAAGCCCTCCAGGAGGTTGAGGCAGGAGGACTATCTCCAGTCCCAGGCAAGCCTGGGCTACGTGAGGACCGACCTCAAAAACAAAACAAAAAATCAGCGACAGTCGTCATGCTGGGTGGCGCAGACCTGGTCCCCCATTTCTGGGCCTCAGTTTCCTTATTTGACCTGAAGCGGCGGACCAGCTGAGTTTCCGAGACCGGCCGGGCCGGGGAGAGTTATTTTGTGGCGAGTCTCGCGAGGCCCCGCCCCGCCTTACTGTTGGTGGAGTTCTTTCCGGTAGGCCAGGCTTTCCCAAGCCGCGCCTCCCGCGCTACTGCCTTTTCCCGGAGGAGCGGCTTTTCCCCTCGGACCACACCCCTCACCTGTAATTAGCATAGTGCCCTATAGGGGTGCGGCTTCCTCGCGGGCCACGGCCTTCGAGAAGCCTTTGGCCTAGCGCTCTCCTCAGGGGCAGGTTTTTCAGGCCCCGCCTCCTCGTGCTATTGGTGGACTCTCTTCCGGGAGGCGTGGCTTTCTCCTCAGGCCATTCCTTCTCCGCGCTATTAGCTTTTCGGGAGCGCGGCTGTCTCGCTCAGGCCCCGCCCCCGCTGGCGTTTTGACAGAGCCTCTTCCGGTAGGCGCGGCCTTCTCCTCAGGCACCGCCCACACCCCGCGGTATAAGAACCGCGCGGCCGGGGTCCGGAACGGCCGCAGTCGAGCTGCTCGGCCTCTGCGCGTGCGTAGCTCGAGCCCGCTGCCTCGAAGCCGCTCGCCCTTCTTTGTCGCGGGTTCGAGCACCAAGTCAGCCTGCTTTTGGGTTCACGACCGTCAGCACGATGCTGTTCGATAAGGTGAAGGCGTTCGTGGTAGAGCTGGACGGGGCGCGCGCGGGCACCGAGCCCGTGTTCCACGGAGGCCAGGCCGTGGCGGGCCGGGTACTGCTGGAGCTGGCGGGCGCGGCGCGCGTGGGCGCGCTCAGGCTGCGCGCTCGGGGCCGCGCTCGCGCGCACTGGACGGAGTCGCGGAGCGCGGGCTCCAGCACGGCTTACACGCAGAGTTACAGCGAGCGCGTGGAGGTCGTGAACCACAGCGCCACGCTGCTCGCGTCAGGTACGCTGGGACCCCCGCAGGGCTCACGGAGCACGGACCCGGGCCCGCGTCCGCTGAGCCCCGTCTCTCCCTAGACTCGGGGGACACCGCCGCGCTGCCTGCCGGACACCACGAGTTCCCCTTCAGCTTCCAGCTGCCTATGTAAGCCCTGCTGTCGCCTGCCTCCGGCTGGGCGTCCGGGTCTCCTCACTCCCAACTTCTCGGGAAGCCCCACTTGCTTGCCTGTCTCCTCCCCTGAGCCCCACTCTCGCCACCCCAGCTCCCTGGTGACATCCTTCGAGGGAAAACACGGCAGCGTCCGCTATTCCATCAAAGCCACTCTGCACCGCCCCTGGGTCCCCGCGCGCCATGCCCGGAAGGTGTTCACTGTCATTGAACCCGTGGACATTAACACGCCTGCCCTGCTGGCAAGTGGCTGCCCGTGAGGGGCGGGGTTGGGTGCAATCTCAGACTTGGGGGCCACAGGTGGCCTCAAACAGGGAGCCAGAAGTTAGTGGTGAGTGCAGAACCCTCTAGAGCTGGGTGCAGATTCTGAGGGCAACTACCCGCGGTGTGCCTCTGGGCGCATTGTACCTCTGGGCGAGGGCCTTGCCCCCTCCCAGCCTTACGTGTCCCCTTTGGAAAATCAGCACACTGGGGCTTCATTTCTTTGTCTTACTGGGTTATGGGTTTGTTTCTCCCTCTCTCTTTTTTAATTTTAGAAAGCTATGTATGTAGCTCTGGCTGGCCTGAAACTCACGAAGTAGACCAGGCTGGCCTCAGACCCACAGAGATCTGCCTGCTGGGGTTAAAGGCATGAGCCTCCACACCTAATCTAGCTTTTCATTTTTACTTCAACTTTCTTGAGACAGGTTCACATTCTATGGCCGTGGCAGGCCAGAAGCAGCACCAGTCCCTCTGCCTCAGCCCTTCCCCAAGACTATGGCACAGAAGCTCCAAAAGCCCAGTTGCCCAAAGTGACTATTGGTGTCCCCACAGGAACCCCAGGCTGGAGCTCAGGAGAAGGTGGCGAGATCCTGGTACTGCACCCGCGGCCTAGTGTCCCTGTCAGCCAAGATCGACCGCAAGGGCTACACACCAGGTAGAGCAGGGCCATACATGGGGGGGGGGGGGGGAGAGAGTCCGCGGTGGGAAACTGAGGCAGGCTGCTTCCTGCTGCAGGTGAGGTCATCCCCATCTTCATGGAGGTTGACAATGGCTCCACCCGAGCTGTACAGCCCCGTGCTGCTCTAGTACAGACACAGACCTTCACGGCCCGAGGTGCCCGAAAGCAAAAGCGTGCTGTGGTGGCCAGCGTGGACGGAGAGCCCGTGGGCCCCGGGCGCCATGGGCTGTGGCCAGGTCGTGCCCTGCGTATTCCGCCTGTGGGCCCATCCATCCTGCACTGTCGAGTGCTCAGTGTGGACTACTCGCTCAAGGTACTCTGGGCTCCCCATACCCTGTTGTCCAGGCCAAGGTGGAAGATGCCGTGTAGGGCAGCTGTCCATCTTGCTGCTGTTCCCCTTAGGTTTACGTGGACATCCCAGGCTCTTCCAAGCTGCTGCTGGAGCTGCCGCTGGTCATCGGCACGGTCCCCCTGCACCCCTTAGGCAGCCGCTCAGCCAGTGTGGGCAGCCGCGCCAGCTTTCTGCAAGACTTCGGCCTGTGCAGCCTGATGGAGCAGCCAGAGGGTGAGCCCCACCAGCTGTGGAAGGACTTAGGTGGGCAGAGCCAAGCCCAAGCCGCCCCTTTGTCTAGGGGTCTCTATGCAAGCAGACACCTATCATCCCTGCACACCGAGAGCTAAGGGGTCAGTTCCAGCCAGTTTCAGTACTTAATAACTTAGAAGCCAGCCTGGGCTGCAGGAGAACCTAACTCAAAAGCCAAGTTAACACTGTGTGGAAAGACGCCTCTAAATGCCAGTGAAGGCCCAGAGAGCAACTGTCCTACACCGAGACCCTGGCTCGGAGAAGCAGAGGCCAAGAGCCCAGCTGAGTCAGGAGGCTTGCTGCAAACTGGAAGTCGACTTGGGCCACAGTGAAGCTGTCCAGGGGGAGAGAGCTGTGTCCCCAGAAGACCAGCTCCAGCCTCACTCACCTCTCTCCTTCCTAGCACCCCCTGAATACTCCGAGGTGGTGGTCGAGAACCAGCTGGCAGCTGCGGCACAGGGGTCCTTCCCCCTCCCGCATGACCCCTGCGTGGCCATGGAAGGGGCCTACTTGGCCTGTCTCCAGGAGTTCCGCTACCGCCCACCTCCGCTGTACTCTGAGGTAGGTGCCTGCACCCTCTCCAGCCTTCATGGGTGATGAGCTGATAGCAAGCAGGGTGTGGTGGCACAGGCCTGTGGGCCCGGCCTCTGGGAGGCTGCGGCAGGAGGATCCAGGATCCCAGCCTGCCTTGTGGCAAATAGAAAATGAGCTCCTTCATGTGTTCAGGCCTCACACCCTCCTCGGGACCCCTGACTGCCTGTTCCCTCAGCTGATGTAGGCATTGGGGCTGGCAGGGCCAGCGATGTGGCTCACTGCAACTGTCTGTCAGGAGGACCCTAACCCCTCTTCAGAGGCTGTGAGGCCACGCTGCATGACCTGCTGATCCAAGGATCCACACCTCGGTACCGGGTTGAGGAGTCTTCGGCCACTGCAGTCCTGCTCTGGGAACACAGGGTTAGATGAGTGTCTTCCGACATCACACGGGGCTGAGAGGCAGCACACGGCTTCAGAGGACTGGCCATTCTCTCGGGCTTCCAGTTTTCTGCGTCTGACCCACAGTGGGGCTGCTGGGATGGACACATCCAGTCTCATAGAACCAGACCAACTAGGAGTCCAGAGGGGAAGCAGAAGGCTTCCAAAGGTCAGCTCAGCTGAGGCTTTGACGTTTGAACAGGAGTTCAGTGAGTAGACAAGCAGAGAGGAAAAGGGCAGAACCAACAGTGCCCACGGCCTTCATCCCAGGTTGGGAGGCTTAGATGAGGCCCACTAGTAGGTCAGCAGGACAGAGGGCCCAGGGGCAGACATGTACAGGGAAAGCCAGTGGGCTCTGTGTGACCTGAGGGTCCAGGGGTTCCAGCTCTTGAGGGCTGGTGGCTGAGCCCAGAGCTGTGGGTGCTTAGAAGCTCAGACCTCGCTCAGGGGTCAGGGTCCAGACAAGGACACATGTGCCCTAGCAGATCATGTGTGGAAAGAAGGACAGGTGACTGCGGGCAACTGAGCAAGGCCCCACGTCGCCACCCGCCAGGGACTTGCCATTTCCACAGCTCTGAAGAACCAATCAGATCACCTTTTGTACATTAATAAATAAGTAAATAAATAAACTAGGAGGAAGAGACGGAGCTGCTGGCTCATCCACCTTGGCAGCTGGGGGCTGGTGCGGCTCTGACCGGGTCCTGGTGTGTCACCCTGCTGCCCCTGCTCACCAGCTTTGTCTGCTACTTGTTTAAGATTTGTCTTGTTTTTTTTTTGTGTGTGTGTGTGTTATTTTGCTGCATGTCTCTGTACCACATGCATGCAGGGCCCGTGGAGGCCAGAAAGGGGTCCCTGGAGCAGGAGTGACAGATGGCTGTGAGCCCACGTGGATGTTGGGGACTGAACCCAGGTCTTAACCTCTGACCCCTCTAGGCTTGGTCTACTGTTTTAAGGTTTCTGAATAACTTTCCTGGCTCTGCACGTGATCACCACCACCCCAAACATAGCACAAATGGTTGTCATCACACTGCCATAAATACGGAGGTTGAGGCAGGAGGATTGCCATGAGTTTAGGGCCAACCTGGTCTACATAGTGAGACAGTAGCAGCAATAATATTGATAAAAATTAGATTCCCTTAATTATTATTTAATTTCATCACTGGGAAGCAGAGGCAGGTGGATCTCTGAGAGTTCCAGACCAGACAGTGCCACATGGGGAAACCAAAACAAAACAACAAAAAAGTAGACATTAGCTGACGGTCTGAGGTGGCATTGGGGGCCAGAGCCCCAAGGGGAGGTTAGACCCTGGGGTCATACAGATCCTCCTCCTCTAGAGACCCACAATGCCTCAGGAGGCTGGGGTGTCTAGGGCGGTTAGGGAGCCATCCTCACCACTGTCCCCGAAACCCAAACCTGCAGCCCAGGACCAGAAGTCCCCACCAGGGGGTGTGGGGTCCCCCTTCTGGGTGAGCACAGTTTGTCCCAGGGCAGTTCCCTCGGGCCAGGCAGCTGGCCACCTGACACCCGAGCCCAGAGCCTCGGTACCTGATGCTTACTGGTTTCCAGGGTAGGTGAGCAGCAAGCAGGAAGGAGCTGGCTCAGTGGTCCCGTGGGGGAAGGGGCGCTGCTTCAGGCCCCTTCTCCCTCTGCTGCAGCCACAGGACTCTGTTAGGGTGGGGTCACCTCCCTGCATCTCTCCCACGACCCCCTTGAATCTGACCAATAAGGGCTCAGTGTCAAACTCTGCCTGGCTGGGCCTGACCCTGTTGGCTTAGTGTCTGAGCCCTGGGATGACAGCACGCAGGGCACAGACACTTGGCCTCTGGCCCGCTGGAGTGGCTGCTCAGGAATCTACCCACAGTCGTGGCCGCCCTCACTGTCTCCATGCCGCTCCAGGGCACATTCTGTCCAGGGTAAGATGCCCTGGGGTGCTGGGGAAGGGGCTGTTTTTTTGCGGGCGGGGTTACAGAACACCCTGTCCCACCTCCTCAGTCCCCTCCCGGCCCTGGCTCCGTCTTCCTGAGGAGGCAGAGCCCCAACCCCAGGACCTTTGCACCTGCCTGGCCAGCAGCTCCTGCTCCTCCACCTGGCCCTCTTTTTATTGTTTGTTTTTTGAGACAATCTCCTGTAGCCCAGGCTGGCCTTGAACTCCTCCTCCCCCCCCCCCACCTCCACCTGTCATGACAGGGGTTCATAGATAATGTGTTCCTGGGTTGGGCAGGCCTCTGCCCACGCTAGGCCGAGCTCTGCTCATTGAGCCGAGGCCGTGATCCCTGGGCTTTGTGCGGTTGAGGAAAGTCCCCAAAAAGCTGACGCGGAAGTGGTGACTGGCCTGGGGCGGATGGTGACAGCCGCGGCCACGGGTGATGGGGGGATGGGGGGAGTGTCATATAAAGAGCAGTCTTGCAGGGAAACTGCCCAGGGCTCCTCACAGCGAGGGTGGGCAGGACGGGACCCCAAACCCTGCGTACCCCTGTGGGGTCTGCCCCTCCCAGCCAGCCCCACCCCATTTCCAGGCTTCACGTGATCACGGACCTTCTGGTCAGGCAGAGTCATGGGATTGGCTCATGGGGGACTGACCGGACCAATCAGACTGGGGCCTCAGCAGAGGTAATCAAGGCCTGGAAGCCCAGGTGCCCCTGTGACAGGATGGTAGGCGGAGTCTCAGGTACACCTGGATGGGGACCGGGAGTGACAGGATCCCGGCCACACAAGTCAGGGTGGAGCCATGGGAAGGAGCTGGGTCTAGAGGGTCCTGGAAAGAGGACACTGGAGTTGGGGTTTGGATGGATGAAGAGGAGTTTACAGGGAAAGGGTGTCCAGCCACGGGGAACAGCTTATGCAGTCACTTAGCAGACAGTCCTGGCTGGGGATAGCGCTTGGCTGTGGTGAGGGAGATAGCCCCAGGAGGCCGCAGGGATGGAGCCCCAGGCAGGAAGTCCTGGCACTTCCCCAGGTGTGAACCCCTGGCCCAGGAAGGAGAGCAGATCAGGGGTTAGCTCTGGACTCTTGTCTTCCCTGAACAAGTAGCGGGCCACTCCGGACAGCATGGGACACTGCAGTCTGTGAGGAGGGATGGGAGGTTGGGGGGCCAGGGCTGCCTGAGGTGTGCCAGGGTCCTGTCCCATGCCAAGCTCTTCCCTGCGTGGGCAAACAAAAGGCAGTGGGGCAGGCAACTGTGGGCTTCCTGAGCGTTTGCTTGCAGGTTGGCTTTGGGTAGGGGTGTTGCCAGTGACCCTCTGTGTGTGCATGTCCCTGTGGCCATGGTGGCAGCTATGGCTCCTGGTGAGACAGGAGACCCCAGCTCCAGTTTGGACATGCCCCTTTCCAGGCCCTTCATCTTGACTACATTAAGTGGGGACAGTTCTAGTCAGAAGTATTTTTGCCCTTGATATCATTGGAGTCTAACTACCTATCATAGTCTCATTCTTGCTGACAAACTGCTATTCACCCTCCTATACTGAGGGTGAATACAAAACCCCTATACTGAGCCTGGCTCCCTCTCTTCCTTTTAGCCCGGTTCTGACCAGCACAGGCTGAGGATGTTTGTATCTTGTATGGGTCACTGCCCCCCATCCTGGCCAAGGCTGAGGCCTCTCAGGAGACCAGCAGAGACAGGAAGATCGGAGCACAGTTCCCAAGTGCCTCCCGTCCCCTGGCTGGTTCCTGTAGCCCACTCACTGGCCACACCGGCCTCCACATAATTAGCTGTTTTGTTTATTCATTTTGCTTTATTTATTCTTGCCTGGAGCTCACAGTTATTCTCCCGCCTCAACCTTCAGAGTGCTGGGCTCTTGGGCCAATGTAGGAACTTATGGGTCTGGCTGGAAGAAACCATAGCATTGGAATTCAGCTCCTTCACCATCATGCTGACCCAGGAAGAGCCCCTGTGGGCACTGTTTACTAAGTATCTAGTGACAGCAGCAAGTGTCCAGACACTGGGTCACAGTGTCGGTGTCACGGTGAAACCCAGCCTGCTGCTGGCACAACCCAGCCATGTTGGCTGCCAGACGGCCAAACCCGCTAGTCCAGGTGGCCACCTGCCTCTGCCTCCAAAGTGCTGGGATCACAGTAATAATTAATGGTATTAAGTAATGATCATTATTGTTGTTACTGTAACAGAGTCTTACTATGTAGCCCGGTTGGCCTCGAATTCATGACAGTCCTCCTGCCTCTGCCTCCCAAGTGTTCAGACCCAAGTGCAGACACCGTGTTAAGCTTCAGGCTGTGACAAATAGGCCTGGAGCCAGATTGAGCATATTTTCCTGCCATGCAGGATAGCACCGGAGGCCGGGCCCGGGCCGCATCCCTCAACTGTCCACAGGGTCGGTTTTGAAGCCGGGTATCCCACAGAACCCGGGGCTGAGCAGTTCAGCCCGGAGAGGGTCCTCCTGTCTCCACCTCCCCTGAACTCCGGCTGCAATGGCGGTGGAACTGCGGACCCGCGGTCACGTGACCCCCTGGCGGCTGCAGGCGGGAGGACATAGTTCAGCGCCCCGGTCTCTGCGGATCAGAGCGAGTTCCTGGCTTCAGGACTGGAATTCAGTCTGGAATTTTCCGTGACTCTGAAGGGATCAAAATGACCCTGAGGTTCCTGGAGCTGGACCGCCCCGGAGATGCCGAGGTCTGTCCCCGAGACAACAGGGGTGCTGCGGGTCCCTCCTGCTCCATGGTCGCTGGACCTGCAAGGCCACGACTCGGAAGGGAGCCCACAGCCCTGCTCCGCCTGGAGGCGTGAGTGCTCTGCTGCCGCGGGGACCTGGAGCTTTCCGGTAGATCATGAATGAGAAAAACAGAAGGAAGAAGGGTCTTGGCTTAATTAAAATGTTAAAAAGCGTTTAAACTAAACTACATTTTATTTTATTTACTTACTTCGTGGCGGTGAAGTGGCAGGATACATGAGCTGAGGTCAGCTTGCTAGAGTCCATTCTCTTCTTCCACCATGTGGGTCACAGGCTTTGAACTCAGGCCCTCAGGTTTAGCAGCAAGCACCTTTACCTGCTCAGCCATACTGCCAACCTGGGACTTGGGATTTACACCACCAGAGAAAGCCATCATCAAACCAGGGAAACTTCCATTTTTTTACCCGGCATGAAGGCATAGGCCTATCATTGACATATAGGAGACTGAGGCAGAAGAATGGCTGTGAGTTCCATACCAGACAGACATCTAAAGAGTAGACCCCCATCTCAAACAACAGCAAAGACTGGTGGGGTCTGCATGCTCACAGTTGGGATGTTCAAGGTCAGCCTTGACTAAATGCTGAGTTTCAGGCCAGCCTGGCCTACACAGGGAGACCTGTCTCAGCAACAACAAAAAGCCCCCACTGAGTAGAGGGTGGTGCAGGGCCCAGCAGTTCTGGAGAAAAGTGAGGTGGCGAGACTGGTCCTACCAGACCCTGGGAGCAACTTCACAGCCCGTGGTTACATCAGAAAGATTGCCATAGGGAGGGGCACATTGACCAATGTGGAATCCAGAACCCACAGCAGCAGGAAGCCTGCCTAAGGTGGAGCTGTCCCGGCAGAGAGGGGCCGTCGGTGCCAGCACCGGGGAGGGAGGACGCCAGAGGGTCAGAGACATCAGCGCTCGGCGAGGGACTCAGGGGGCTGACAGGAAGGCCCAGAGGGCAGAGGTGCTCCCGAGCCTGACCGGCTGAGTCTGATGCCTGGAACCAACGGTGGAAGGAGAGAACCAAGTCCTGCAGGCTGCCCTCTGCCCTCTGCCCTCTGCCCCTCATACAGTGAAAATGCAGTGAGGAAGGTTGGGGCAGCAGAGGAAGAAGCCAAGGCCCTCCCTTTAATAAAGTCATAGGACTTTTTGTTCCTCACAGGGTGCCTTGAGGAAAGTGGAAAGAGGAATGGCGAAGCCACACACAGCTGCCGTGACTCCTGGCACACAGGAGCCCTGGCGCTGGCACCTGAGGGGCGCGGCAGGAAAGCAGCCGCTGCAGCCCAGAGCATCTGGAGGGGAGCACCCCGTCATGCTGCTTCCCGCCTGTGACTGGCCAAAGTTCCCAGTCAGCGCTCCTCATGTTCAGGGTCACCCAGGCTGGAGGGTGGGAGCGGCTGAAGGCTCAGAAAGCCCAACCGACACCTTCGGTGTCCCAGGCACACACAGAAATGACCCAGGACCAGGGGCACAGGCCACTCTACAGACCAGTCAGGACCTGCCAACTGCCAGCCTAGAGGTGGCTAGGGTGGGAGGGGAGCTGCCACCGTGCGCCAGCTGAGTGTCTGAGGTGAGGGCTCATGCTTGGGCCCAGGCCCCTCCCACCCTGTTCCTCACCTGCCCCTGTCTCTGTGCCATGGACTGGTGCCCTGTTTCCTCCCATACACAGTGGCAGAGCCAACATCCCCCGGTCACCCCAGGCGGTGTGATCCGGTGTGCCATATGCAAACCGATACCAACCTCCAGCCACTTGTGAAAGCAGCTGCCTCGGTATCTGCCCACGAGGAAGTCCCTGGGCAGGCTGAGCAGAGGAGTGGTAGGCGGACTGATTAGCAGTCATGGTGCAGCTCTGTGCCTCAGTTTCCCCACCTGTGAACTTTCTGAAGCCCACACAAGTCCTCCTGTCCTTGGGGAGGAAGCAATCAATGCCTCAGGGCCTCCAGACCCTGGCGGGGCCAGCTGCTCTCAGGGAGGGCCTGACCCTGCGGCCATGTCTCCTGCTGTCCCCCACCTCCGGGAGCGGTGGCACCAGGGCCACCTGCCCTCAGCAGGTCTTCAGGTGCATAGCACTCACAGCTGACGGTGCGTGGCAGCTGAAGGTGCAGCCATGAACGGGCTTCAGACTGCATGTGGGGGCTCTGAGCAAGGACATTGGAATTAGACCCAGGAGGGGGCCAAGGAGACAGGAAGGCACAGGGGTTAAGGGCCCAGGCAGAAGCAAGACTCCGGAAAAAGTCCTGAGGCAGGAGCATGGCTGAGTTGTTTGGGAGTGCAGAGGGTGGAAGGGACGACAGACTGCTACAACAGCCTTGACATGAAGAGCTGGGTGGGGGACAGGTTCAGCCACGTGTGACTCAGGCCACCAGCCAGGTCCATCCACAGGGCGCGGAGGCAGAAGCAGACAGGCCCGTGTGAGCAGGGAACTGTCAGAGAAGGAACCAGAGTTCCGAGCGTGGACAGTGTGGAAAGTGAAGACACCAGGCGGTGGTGGCGCAGCCTTCACTCCCAGCACTCGGGAGGCAGTCAGGTCAATCTCAGTTCGAGGCCAGCCTGCTCTACAAAGGGAGTTCCAGGACAGCCAGGACTACACAGAGAGACCCTGCCTCAAAACCAAAACCACAAAACAAAACAAAATGGCTGAGAGAATCCATAACCTGACCTGAGCCCGCTCTTCGAGATATTTGTTGACTGACTGTATGGCCTCCTCCTCCAGGCCCCTACTGGAAAGTGCCTGTGACAGGAGTGGGGGGTGGGGAGGGAAGCTGCTGTTTTGCTTTCACAGGAAGGGTACAGTGCTGGGTCAGCTTGAGCTGGAACAGTGTACAGAGATCAGACAGGGCAGGGCTACACAGTGGCCCCCATGGAAATCTAGGCAAGGACCAGGCCAGCCGGCTTCCCACCAACTCCTTGTTTTGTTTATGTGCCTGTGCCACCGCTCAAGGTGCTGGAGACAGTGTCTCTTAGAGGCTGAAGGGCTAAGTGACATTTCCTGAAGCCCTGCGTGGCTGCCAACCCTGAGAAACTCCAAGGGCAGAGCGGTAGAAGCTCCAGGCTGAGGGATGGAGGCGCTGTGGCTCACCCCAGCCCCTGCCTACAACCCTTGAGGGGCACAATGACAGCCTAGGAGCCCCAGCGAGAGGTGGGCGTGGCTTGGAGGGGCACAATGACAGCCTAGGAGCCTCAGCGAGAGGTGGGCGTGGCTTGGGGTGGAGCCTCTGTTTCAGGTGAAACAGGGTCCTGGGTTCCATCAGGAGCAAGAAAGGAAGGAAGAAAGGAAAGGAAAAGGCAAAAGGAAAGGGCAGCCGAAAGGAGGCGAAGGAAGGAGAGAACAGCAGGCCGGAGCGGCAGGACCCACAGCGGCCAGGACCACAGAGCCACCGAGTCCCCATCAGCACATGAGCAGAGAAACAAAACATGTTCTCAGCACGCAATGGAACAGTACTCAGCTATGAAAGAGAAAGACACCGACACATATTGAGAAAGTTCAAAAATGCATTGTGCTGGCAGCAGCCAGCATAGGCTCTGCGGTCAGGTTCAGGGTGTGACAGCGCGGGCAGGGAGACAGGGGCATTAGATATGGGATGGTCTGGAATTCAGTGTGCACACCAACTGAATGTGCAAATGTCACTGAATTGTGCGCTTTCAATGGGCAAACTGAAGGGAAGAGAGGAAGGCAGAGCAGTGTGCGTAAAATCAGTGTCAGAGCGGGCACTGTCCGGCGCCCAGCCGCTCTGTGCGGATCTCCGCATGACGATCCACCCATCCCAGCTGGAGGCCACAGACAGAGGCCACTGGAGACATACAGCCAGGAGGTGCCCGGGGAGGGAAACTGAGGCAGCTCAGGTCCCTGCTTTTGATACGCTCCACACCTGGCCACCGACAGAAACTAACGGGGGCTGAGGGAGAGCCAGCGGCTGAGCGTGTAGGCCCACAGCAACCATCGGGCGCAGCAGGCCCCTCGCGCTGGCTGTTCTGGAGGACCTGGCTGCCGCAGCCACAGCATAGCCTCCTCCCGGACCCCTCTGCCCTCCCACCTCGCCCCTCCCCCGCCTCATCACAGTTCGGGTGGTGTGATGGGCGCCGAGCCGGGGTTTGCCTGCAGCAGCCTATGGGCCGCCCCACCCGGGCAGGCCTCGAGACGGAGCTCGCAGGACGCGGCTGGGACACAGTAAGGACTCCTGTTTGTCTTGCACTGGCGAGGGGTGAACCCCAGGCAGCGCCAGCCCCTCACCGGGATCCTAGGCTGTCACTCGGCCCCACCCCCCAGCCAAACCGCCCTCCCGTGGCCAGCAGAAGCCAGAGCGAGAGCGCTGGTCACTCCCCGCTGGCGCCAGGATACACGTCCTGTGGAAAGGGAGCTGGACAGAAAGCGTCCACCTGCGCGGCGGGGTGCAGGTGACCCCTCTCCGCCCCCAGGCCGACGCCGTGAGCGTTGGCAAATCCTCCCAAGCGCAGCGGCGTCCTCTGCCTCCCCGGCGGGACCCCAACACAGCTCAGCACTGGAGAAGTGAGGTATGATGGCTGGGAGTTTGGGCCAGCCTGGGCTACAGTAACCAAACCATCTGTGGGACCAATGTGTGGCTGGACCCCAAGACCAAAGCTCCTTCCCCAGCCAGAAGCTTCTGTGGGCAAACTGAGGTCCTAGGTCGGGGAGGCCTGGCCCGGAGCTGCGGATACTCCAGTCATAAAAGGCTGGGTTTCTGGGTCCTCGCACCTCGGGGGAGTCAAACTGGTAAAGTCCATTTTAAATCGCCTGTGCCGGGAGGGGGGGGGGAGGGGCGCGCGGAGGCGACACGCGCCGCTGCTGCCCCCTGGCGGTCACGGCGAGAAGTTACAGACGGGCGTTTACTGAGGCGGCTGCTGTGCCTACGGACAGAGGGAACCCAGGGGTGCACTTGGGGGCAGCCTCGTGGGAAGGGAGCTGGGACCACCCAAGGACCTCCAGGCCTCAGCTGTCCCTCCTACCCAGGTCTGATCTCGGAGTTCTGAGTGACTGTCCATCACAGTGCCCTCCAGACAGGGTCTCGTGTAGCCCAGGCTGCCCTCCTTGCTATGCAGTCAGGTTCATCTTCCTGCCGCTGCCTCCAGGGTGTGGGATGACAGCTGCGCAGGGCGATGCCAGCTTCAGTTGCCAGTCACTGGGAAGGCCATGTATTAAGTGCGCAATGCTCTAATAGGGAAACTGAGTCTGGATGTGTAACCTCCCAGCAGATGTGGAGACCACTCTCTTCCGCTGCTGAAGCCCACACTTTGAGCCATCGACGTAAGGACGCTCTAGAAACATCCCGACGCCCTTCCTAGCACATCTGGGGATGGACACCAGCCCAGGGCACTGCAGTCAATCTGAGCCTGGTCCTGTATCCTCTCAGGCCGGATGGACACCCCCAAACAGACCAGTGTTAGGGCCCAGACTTGCCCTGGCGATAGCAAGCATGGTTGCGTGAAGCAGCTTCCCCTTCTTGGCGGTTTCTGGGTTCTCCTCACGGGGCCTGGAGGGAATAGATGGGAGGGGAAGTAGGGGTGTTCTAGGGGTGAGAGTGGGGGCCCCCTCTGTTTGCGTCCTGCAAATGCTGTGTGACCTCAGGTAAGACATTCGCTCTCCCTGTGCCTCCGAGTCACATCTGTAAAACAGGTCAGCCATTGTGGACAGCTGTTGCGGTTCAGGAGGGAGCAGGCCGCCGGGGCTAGTCAGGCCTGTTGTCCCAAGGGGCAGGCAGGCAGTCCCGTCTCCTCAGTCTTCCGGGTCCACCAAAGATCAGGGGCTCCCCGGGTGCTCCCCAGGAGCAGCGGGAGTGTCACGTGGGCCAGGCCGCTACAGGGACTGTCCTCCCTGCTCAGGCGGCCGGCTTCCAAGGGCCGCGTTGTGTCCAGGGCAGGCTCTGGGGCGGCCTGGGGAGACTCTGTCTCGTCCCCTCCGTCCGCGGGCATCTCCACCACCAGTGTCTCTCGCGGGCACAACACCTCCGGAAAGTCCTCAGGGCTGCGCCACTGCCAAGCCTGAAAAGGAGCCACTGAGCCAGGGTGTGGGCGGGGCCGGGGCCGAGAGAGGGGCTGGGTGGGCGGGGCCCGGCTACAGTGTGGCCCGCCAGTGTCGGGGCCCGGGTGAGGGGGACCGCCCCTTAGCACTGACTTTCAGGGGGCAGGGACCAGTTCCGGGGAAAGAGCCCTGGAGAGCTGCAGCACGCAAATGGATTGCGCGACCCTGGATCCAGCCATGCTGAAGCCCGCCGCCCGGCCTAGTTTGGCTTTCAAGTTCCCCGTCCGTTGAGGCCACATTAATTTCTGCTCCCGTGATGGCTTCCAGAAGATTCGCCGGTCCGCCTGGCTTTCCAGCCGCCCTTCAGCTTGGGGAAGCTGCGCCGGAGCACGTACCAAACAAAGTCGGAAGCCGAGAAGGAATGCCTACCTGCTTGCCCTGGCTGCCAGGGAGCTCCACAGCCGTGCTGGCACAGGGTGTGGGCAAGGGTGGGCACAAATGCCAGGCGGCCCTGGGGAGCAAAGGACCGCAGATCAGAGCTGGCGGTTCGAGTCTCTCTCGTGCCCGCTGTGCAGTGTAGAGTGATGTGGACGGGAGGAGACTCCCACACTCATGCTCAGCCCCATCTCTGCCCACCACTGCAATCCGGTTCCGGGCGCTGTGCCCGGTGTCCTCGGCTACCAGCACAGATCCATGCCTTGCGGACAGTCGTCAGGAGGGAAAGGTGAAACTTACTTGTTTAGGACGATGTACCCGAGACCGCCCAGGAGGAGGACGCTTGCGAAGCTCCCCAGAGACGCGAAAATGATGTGTAAAGGAGAAATCCGCACCTCTGGGGAAGGGACAACTCGGGTTGAGGGCTGTGCACCTCACTCCTTCCTTTCCTGACTGGAGAAGACACATCTGGACCCACATACAGCAACCCAAGGAGCCAAGAGAGGGCAGAGGGCAGTTACTCTGTCACTGTGGATCCGAGACCGGTAGGGAAAGCTTTATGGAGGAGGGACCTTTACAGCTGGGCTCTGAAGGATGAATGCGAGTTTGACAACTGGGGCTGAAGAATCAAATCTTACAGGCAAGGCAGGCCACAAGAGAGTAATTCCTACTCGTGGTTTCCCCGGAGGCCACAGAGGAAGTCAGCCAGTGAGGGGCTCTGGGGGCCATTAGGGAAACAGGTGCCAAATGCATGCTGGGTAACCGGGGTCCCTGCTCTCCCCGCTCACCGTAGCTGTACCGCTGGGGGCGGCTCCAGGCTCCTAGGAGTCGCAGAGTGTCGGCTCGCACCTGTATCCTGTACACCACGCCGCTGCGCAGCCCCTGAAGCGTCTCTTGGGTCTTCGTGGGTAGCACGGACCACTCTGTTGGAGGAAGGCAGGTAGGTTAGGGATCCCCTCATGACCCGTAGGCCGAGCCGGACACTCAGAGCAGCCCTGTGGGGGCCACCCTCGCCGTGAGGGGGCTCAGGGGTTAAGGGCACACGCTGCTCTTCCAGAGGACCCGGGCTCAGTTTCCAGCACCGCATGGGGGCCCAGGACTGTCTGCGCCCCCCCGCAACGGCCTCCATCCGGCACACATGGCGCGCAGGCACCTCGAACCATCAGCCAATGATGGGAGGTTTTAAAGGTAGCAAAGAGTGAAGAAGGCCGGGATTGTGGCTCAGTGCGGGTCCGAGAAGGCGGAGGCAGGAAGATTGCTATAAACTGGAGGCCAGCCTGGCCTCCAGAGGGAGTTCAAGGACAGCCAGGCCTGCAGGACCTTGTCTCAGAAACAAACAAAAGGCCTGGCGGGCTGGTTGAGCCCTCTGTGAGGCCTTCGCTGCGAGTTCGACCCTCACGCTGTCCTCCACGCGTACTCCGTAGACACCAGTTACACACAATAAATGAGTCAATAAATAAGTGGCTAAAACGTGTTAAACAGGATGCAGCGCTCTGAGTGACAACGGCCGCCGTGGGCTCCTATGTGTAAATACTTGGTCCCTGTTGGCTTTAGGTGGGACTGGGGTGTCACGTGGAGGCCGGGATGTGAGCACCGCGTGGAACCCTGGCAGGCCGCCGTGGTCACCGTGTTCTGTCGCAGGAACACAGCAACGGTGCTCGCCCCACCCACCCCCGCACCTGACACCCACGAGCCGTCCTCAGCCTCGCAGCGCACGACGTAGCGCGCCAGGACTCCGGGGCAGGCGCTCAGCCGCGATGGCGTCCACACCACGGACACGGAGTCCCCGCTGTTGTTCCTCACCGACACGTGGCTCGGAGTCCCGGCCACTGAGGCTGCGCAAAACCCTCATCAGCCCCTGGCCCACCAAAGAGGCCCCGCCCCGACCACCGCCCTGGCCCCGCCCCGCCCCGCCCACCACAATAACCCCAGCCCCGCCTACCGCCCCGATTGCGTCCGCCACCCTAACTCCACCCGCATAGGGTTCTGCGGATAGCCTTGGCCACACCCACTGACATGGCTCCACCAATAGCGATAGCTTCTGGCCGGCTCACCTCCTTGGCTCCGCCCACGGCCCTGGCTCCGCCCACGAGCTTCCATTCTGCAGCCAGGCCCTGACACTCGAAGGTCGCCAAGTGAGACAACCCACAGATCGGAAATGCTCACCGTTACCCCCAAAGTAGTAACTGGACAGGACCGTGGACCACTGCTTTGGGTTCCGGGGGTTCTTGGAGGCGAAGACAGTGACGCGGTGACACTCCTCCTGGTCCCGGGCGGGCTGGGAGCTCCAGCTGTGCGTCACTGCCAGGACCAGCGCAGCCAATGACAAACTGTCAGTCCTGGAGCTGGCTGTGCTGCCTTCTGGGACCGCCTAGGAAACTCCTACTCGTGCTTCAAAGCCCTTATGCGTCTTTCCCTGGCTCCCTCAGCCCACTACCCCCGCCTTGACAGCATGGGACCAGTCTGTGCTCAGTGTCGCAGCCTCGGCTGGGGTTGTCTGAGATCCCCAGATCTGTGTCGCTCCCCCTCCCCCAGACCTGCAGCCCAAACCCAGAGAAGGCAGCCTTGGAGCGAAACCCCGGGCCCCCTCCTGTCTCCAGCCTCACTAATTCGCACCAGCCCTCGTCTCGTTTGATCCACCCTCCTGCGCGAGACTACCCGCACGCTGCGTGCCTGGGAACCCGGGGAGGGCTCGGGCGCGGGTCCCTACAGGCCCCGGAGGCCGCGTTGACGTACCCGTCTGGGCCGAGCGCCTGTCTCCCGACGCAATCAGGGCACAGCGCGTGCGCGTCCTGTCCGCGCCCCGCGGCTGCCACTCGACGCAGTAGCTCGTGCCTGGGGCCTCGGCCGCCCACTGTATGGAGGTCACGTTGCCTTCCACGCTGACATTCAGGCTTCTCGGCTCTGGAAGGAGCATGAGTGTCACATGGGACGACAACAGAGTGTCAGTGCCAACCATAAACACAGGCTCAGCCTGAGGAGATCAGCTAGCATGAATTGAGCACCAACTGTATGCCAGGCTGATACAGCAGGACATGGTTTACAGGCACCAGCTGGCTACGGAGTAGGACTCCGGCCTTTTGTTGTTTTCTTTTTCTTTTTCGAAACAGGGTTTCTCTGTGTAGCCCTGGCTGTCCTGGACTCACTCTGTAGACCAGGCTGGCCTCGAACTTAGAGATCCGCCTGCCTCTGCCTCCCAAGAGCCGGATGGTAAGGCGTGTTGTGTATGCCCTGAATCTCATTCTCCTGGGAGGGAGCAGCGCCCCACCTCTCTCGCCCGTGCCTGGCCCCTTGCGCCCCGGCGTCCCCAGCACCTGTGAGCTCCTGGGCGGGAAGATGCCACGGCGCCTGCGCCTGCGGTCGACTGTTGCCGAAGCGGGTCTTGGCGAACAGGGCCAGCTCGTAGGCGGCCCCGGAGAGGTCCAGCTTCTCGCCCAGGGACACGTTCCACGAGTTCTTGCTCTGGCACGCGCAGGACAGCATCTGTACCTTCACCATGTACTTGACCCCTGCCCCGGGCCTCACCCCCCGGCAGCCGTCGGGGATGGCGGGCTTCGACCACTGCAGAGCAGGACACAGGCATGGGAACCCAGAACGCACACAGCCTGGAGAGGCCGGGGACATCGTCCTCCCCTGCTCTCACGCCACAGCTCCCGTTACCAGCAGAGACAAGGCCTCGTGTAGCCCAGGCTGGCCGAAGATGACCTTAAACTCCTCATCCTCCTGCGTCCACCTCCCCCGTGCTAGATGACAGGTATGTGCCGGGCCCAGCCAACCCTCAGAGCCACCCCATGGCCTGTGTCTTTGCCACCCAGCCTCTCATTTGGTCTCTCTCTTCCTGTCTCACCTCCTGCCCACGCCACCCCACAAACCAGTCACCTGCTCCTGCACGGTCTTTAGCTGCCTTCTACCGTGGCCCAGCGGCTCCTCCAGGAACTTAACTTTGGGCTGGGGAAGAGGCTCTGAAAGAGGAGCAGAGCCCCGGATGGGAAGGACTGAGTGGTCCAGGCAAGTCCTTCCTGCCCCCCAGCCCTCTGCAGAAAACTGGAAGGCAACTGGAGCCATGCCCCCCCCCCCAGTGTCCATGCACGGTGAAGCGCCTTCAGCCTGCAGCTAGAGAAGGCAGCCTGATATCTAACCCCAGGCTGCCGTCTAACCCCCAGGCTGCCATCTAACCCCCAGGCTGCCATCTAACCCCCAGGCTGCCGTCTGTCTAACCCCCAGGCTGTCTGTCTAACCCCCAGGCTACCGTCTAACCCCCA